ACTTTGTCTATCTTTTTACCCTGGCGTGATGTCCATCCTCAATGATAAAGTGTGTTTCTTGGACACAAAGATGGGTGCTATTTTCTAATCTAATCTGTTGCTCTTGCATTTTATTGTGGAATTGAGGCGTTAATCCTGAGCATTACCAATAAGCGGTGTTCATTGATTCCTGTTGTTAGTATGGTGTGGACTTTTCTCCTCTTTTGATTTGTTGGTCTGTGATTATTTATTCCTTGTGTCTTCTTGGGTGTGATTGACCTCTTTAGAAGTTTGTCTTCCTTTCTTTCTTTCTTTCTTTCTTTCTTTCTTTCTTTCTTTCTTTTTTCAAGACAGCTTTTCTCTGTAGCTTTGGAATCTGTCCTGGAACTCAGTCTTGTAGACCAGGCTGGTCTCAAACTCCCAGAGATCCACCTGCCTCTGCTTCCCGAGTGCAGGGATTAAAGGCGTGTGCCACCACCGCACAGATGAAGTTTCCTTCTGGTGCCTTCAGAGCTGAATCTCCCTCGACTGTGATAGTTTTGCTGGGTATCATCTGTGCTGGCATCTGTGGCCTCTCAGTTTGTAGAACATCCATCCAAGCCCTTCTGGTTTTTAGACTCTCCACTGAGAAGTCAGGCGTTATGTGGGAGAATTATCTGTATTCTGTCAATCATGTATTTTAATAAAACGCTGATTGGCCAGGCAGGAAGTATAGGCGGGTCAACCAGACAAGAAGTAGAGGTGGGGCAATGAGAATAGGATAAGGCTAGAGAGGAGAAAGCTCCCTCTGCCATTTCTGTCCAGATCACCGAAGAAGCAACATGTGAGCTGACAGCTGTAAAAGGTACCAAGCCATATGGCTACCATAGATAATAATAATGGGTTAATATAAGTTACAAGGGTTAACAAGATGCCTGAGCTAATGGACCAATCAGTTTATAACCTTATGGAGTCTTGTGTGTGGTTTTCTTTGGGGTATGCTGGTTGTGGAGTACTGGGCGGGACAGAAACCCCAACAAGCAGGCCCATCATGTTACACACTGAGAAGTCAGGCGTTATTCTAATGGATCTGCCTTTATATGATACTGGGTTCTTTTCCCTTATAACTTTGAGTCTATTTTTCTTTGTTCTGTACATTTAGTGTTTATGTGTGCCATGGAGAATTTATTTCATAGTCCTGTCTATTTGGTGTTCTGTAGGCCTCTTGTACCTTGACAGGTACCTCCTATCTTTGGTTGTGAATATTTTATTCTATGGTTTTGATGATAATATTTTCTCTGCCTTCCACTTGTTTTTCTTCCACATCTTCTATCCCTATTCTTTGTAGATTTCTCTTTTCCTGGTGCCTCCAGATTTCCTGGACTTTTTGTGCCTGGATATGATTAGATTTAATGTTTTCTTTGGCTAAGTATTCATTTCTTGTACCTTGTCTTCAAACCCTGAGATTCTCTCCTCCATGTCTTGTAATCTGTTGGTAAGGCTTGCCTCTGGGGTTTTTGTTTGATGTCCTAAAGTCTTCATTTTTAGTTTTATTTCATTTTGTGTTTTCTTTAGTGATTTTATTTCTATTTTTCAAGAGTTAAACTGTTTTTATTATTTCATTCAACTGTTGGTATTTTCATGGTCTTCATTAAGTGATTTATTCATATCCTCTTAAAGGTCTTAAATTTTTGGTTGTGAGCCTAGCCTTTAATGTCTGAGCCATCTCTCCAGCCCTCTCTTAAAGGTCTTAAGTCTTCATAATTGTCATCTTGAAGTCCTAGTCTTTTGGTTCAGGTATATTTCATTTGTCAAGGCCTACCACATTACGGTTGCTGGGTTCTGGTGAAGGCGTATTGTCTTAGTTGTTCACATTTGTGTTTTTGCACTGAGATCCAGGCATGAAGTTCTAATATTTGAGGTATGATATATATATATACACACACACACACACACACACACACACACACACTTCTAATATTTGGGGTAGTTATCTGTTTTTCTCTTTGTTGGGTGGACGTTCTGTTCTTTGGTTGCTGCTGGCACCTTTGGGTCCTAGGCAAGAGGGTGGCTGTGGGGTTCCTGGTAGAGAGGCTTTCCAAAAGGCTAAAAGGAGCCAGGGGAGAAACCTAAGGGGAATCAGGCTCAGCTCCAAAAGACAAAATCCTCAGGCTATGAAGGTGGCAGGGCAGGAGAGGCTCCTTCAAGCAGGCTGCTACAGGACTAGTAGTAATTCAAGGAAAGTATCACGAAGGACGGAAAGGATAGTGAGAATTGCTCCTTACAAGTGAGAGACTTTGTCTCAAAGGAAGTGAAGAATATTCAGAGGATGACACACTGGTGTGCATATTCACATATCTGAGCACACACGTATTTAATAACCATATTTAGGGGGCTATATTAATGAGGTTAGAGGAATAAAAAGGAAAAATGTTTTCTCCCTTGTCCCCCAAGGTCAACTAGGCCCCAGAACTGCACAGCATCCCTTAAAATGTTCAGTAACCATAGGGTAGCTGGAGTTCCAGCAGCTGGAACTATTCCTAGAGAGAGCTCCCCTGGGTGGTCCCAGCTTGGGTGGCTATCCAAGGCACCCACCACTCTCAGAATCCCTAGCAGACGGCCCCTAGAGTCCAGATAAGAGAGAACCACAGCAAGAACAGAGAAGAACTAACCTGGAAGTTCCAACTCTACCGTCAAAGTCATCTTCCTGCAAGACTACTCACCCTCAGCTCTGACATCCTCCTGAGTCCTACACAAGTGGGTAACCAGAGAGCCAGCTCTCTCGGCTTGTGTGTGACAGTGGCTAAGAGAGAGGGAGACCGACTTTGGAATTTCTCAGGCAGAGCAGGAACAACTGAAACCAGATACCCTGCTTAGGGGAGTCCTTGTTTCCACTAGAGACACAGGAAGAAGAATGAGGAGGGGGAAAAGGAGGAGGAAGAGCAGAGAATGTGGAAGAAATCATGGCGATCCAGAATGCCCCAAGGAGCAAAGATGGCACCTGAATCTTCCTTAAGCTACCCTCCTCAGTCCTTGACACAGACAGCATGAGATCCCCGAGAAACTGCTAATCCTCCCAGAAAGGAGAGCAGATCTGGGACAGTGTGGGGACACGAGCAAACCCATCACTGCTCACTAGAGGCCCTGGCCCTTCCCTCCAAGTCCCCCTCCCTGCCTGTCTCTTGTGTAAAGGGCCATCTAATGCCTTTATTTTTTAAAAAAAGATTTATTTATTTATTATGTATACAATGTTCTGCCTGCATGTATGCCTGCAGGCCTGAAGAGGGCACCAGATCTCATTACAGATGGTTGTGAACCACCATGTGGTTGCCAGGAATTGAATCAGGACCTCTGGAAGAGCAGCCAGTGCTCTTAACCTCTGAGCCACCTCTCCAACCCCCATCCAATGCCTTTCAAGTGGGCACCAGATCCCACAACAGAGAGCCACCTGGAGCATCTCTCTCCTCTCATCCAGCAAATATCCTCTGCCTGACTCCTGTGGGATCCGGTGCGCGCTCAGAAAGGAAACTAATTCCACAAGGAGCCGTCTTCATTGGACAGGTAAGAACTGCTCATTGTTGTCTAGACATGAGGAATTTGGACATTTTTCCAGCTATGAGACATTGAAGCATTTTTGAAGCTAAAGTGACAGGAATTTGCCAAGACTGCTTGGTGATCAGTTCTGTGCCAAGAGCGTAGACAGCAAAGTATCTATCCTCCCTTGGACAGTTTACCAGCAGGCCAGAGCACATGCTTTCAGACAAAAAAAAAAAAAAAAAAAGAACGTCAATAAGGAACTGAAACATAACCCCAGCACTCAGAGACGGTGGTACATAAGCATGACGGAATTTTATCCAGCCACAAACTCAAATCATGAAATTCGCACTGTGATGACTGGATAAATAAAATATATAAGTGAAATAATCCAGGTTCAGGAAGACAAGTACAACACTCTCCCTATCATATGCCCAGCTGCTGCGTTTTGTATGTGGACATAGGAGTTCCATGGGGTAGTTTGTAATTCACGGAACTAGAAAAGGAACAATGGGGTGCTTTAATGAAAACAAGTGGGGGGCAGTAGAACATGTGTGACATGTAAGAGCGGAGGGGACGACAGAGCAGAAGGCACAGTGGGCAGAAGGGCAAGAAGACTGGGGGTGAGGGAGGAAGGATCGACCAACATGGCATGGGTTTGAAATGCTAAAAGGGACCTGGGGAGCGGGCTCAGCTCTTAGAACTGACCCAGGTTCAGATCCAACGCCCTCTTCTGACCCCTGAGGGTACATGGTGCACATACACACACTCAGGCACACACATGCACATAAATAAAACAGTTTTTGATCTTTAAATTAAAAACAGAACTTTTTTAGGCAGGACCTCACTGTGTAACACTGGTTGGCCTGGAACTCACTGTGCAGACCAGGCTGGCCTCAAGTGCACAGAGGTCCACCTGCCTCTGCCTCCCAAGTTCTGGGGTTAAAGGCGTACGCCACCGTGCACAGCATCTATTTGATGTGGGAGAATTATCTATATTTTGTCAATCATATTTTAATAAAACGCTGATTGGCCAGGCAGGCAATATAGGCAGGAAAGCCAGACAGGAAGTAGGGATGGAATAAAGAGACTGGGAGTATTCTGGAAGCAGAAGCTCTCTCTCAGCCACTCCTGCACAGATCACTAAAGAGGCAGCATGTAACTTGCCCAGCTGAGAAAGGTACGGAGCCATGTGCTAAAATAGATAAGAATAATGGGATAACATAAGTTATAAGAGTTAACAAAAAGCCTGACCTAATGAGCCAATCAGTTTATAACCTAATATAAACTCCATATGATTTTCCTTGGGACTTGCTGACATGTTGGGATACTGGGCGGGACAAAAACTACAACAAGCCGGCCCATCATACTACATCTATTTGTTGAAAATAGAAAGAAAATGACATAAGGAAAGCTGTTACCTTCTACATTTGTTTGTTAAAGTTTTCAAACAAAAGAATATCTTAAAAAAGAATGAACTGCTTACACTCCGCCACCGGTTTGCGCTGGGTCTTCCCTCTGCTCCATCTCCCCGGCCTTCGTTGATGGCAATGGAAGAAGAAATCGTCGCGCTCGTCATTGACAATGGCTCCGGCATGTGCAAAGCTGGCTTTGCTGGTGACGACGCCCCCAGGGCCGTGTTCCCGTCCATCGTCGGGCGCCCCCGACACCAGGGCGTCATGGAGGACATGGGCCAGAAAGACTCGTACGTGGGTGACGAGGCCCAGAGCAAGAGAGGTATCCTGACCCTGAAGTACCCCATCGAGCACGACATCGTCACCAACTGGGACGACATGGAGAAGATCTGGCATCACACCTTCTACAACGAGCTGTGTGTGGCCCTTGAGGAGCATCTGATGCTTCTGACCGAGGCCCCCCTGAACCCCAAAGCGAACAGAGAGAAGATGACGCAGATAATGTTTGAAACCTTCATCACCCCATTCCACATTCAGTCGGTGCTGTCCCTGTATGCATCTGGGCGCACCGATGGCATTGTCATGGACTCTGATGACGGTGTCACACACAGTGCCCATCTACGAGGGCTACGCCCTTCCCCACGCCATCTTGCGTCTGGACCTGCCTGACCAGGACCTGACAGACTACCTCGTGAAGATCCTGACTGAGCGGGGCTACAGCTTCACCACCACGACTGAGCGGGAAATCGTGCGTGACATTAAGGAGAAGCTGTGCTATGTTGCCCTGGATTTTGAGCAAGAAATGGCCACTGCTGCATCATCCTCTTTCTTGGAAAAGAGCTAAGAGCTGCCTGATGGGCAGGTGATCACCATCGGCAACGACCGGTTTCGGTGTTCAGAGGCTCTCTTCCAGCCTTCCTTCCTGGGCATGGAGTCCTGTGGCATCCACGAGACCACCTTCAACTCCATCATGAAGTGTGATGTGGACATCTGCAAGGGCCTGTATGCCAACACAGTGTTGTCCGGTGGTACCACCATGTACCCAGGCATTGCCAACAGGATGCAGGAGACCACAGCCCTAGCGCCCAGCACGATGAAGTTCAAGATCATTGCTCCCCGCTGAGTGCAAGTACTCAGTCTGGATTGGCGGCTCCATTCTGGCCTCACTGTCCACCTTCCAGCAGATGTGGATCAGCAAGCAGGAGTATGAGGAGTCGGGCCCCTCCATCGTCCACCGCAAATGCTTCTAGATGGACTGAGCAGGTGCCAGGCATCTGCTGCATGAGCTGATTCTGAAGCATCAATTTGCCCTGGCAAATGTACACACCTCATGCTAGCCTGGTGAAACTGGAATAAGCCTTTGAAAAGAAATTTGTCCTTGAAGCTTGTATCCAATATCAGCACTGGATTGTAGAACTTGTTGCTGATTTTTGACCTTGTATTTGAGTTAACTGTTCCCTTGGTATATGTTTAATGCCCTGTGCATATCTTGATTTAGTCCTTCGCCATGTGGCTTGGTCACTTGGTGGCTGGGGAGGGCGAGAGCATGCTATGGTAGAGAAATCCCCAGCCTGGTGGATGTGTGAGCATCATGCAGTGATCTGTGCTGGGTATTAACTGACTGCTGACTTCCAGGATTTCTCAAGGCTGGCAAGGGTTCCTGAACCAGTTACCACTTCTGTCTTGCCGGTCTAACAGAGTGGGAAAGTCCGAGCCTTAGGACCCATTTCTGGTGTTTTCCCTCCTGACCGCGTGGGTTGTTACTTGCCTTGAGTTGGGAACGTTTGCATTGACACCTATAAATGCATTCATTTTAATTTATGTAAGGTTTTTGTACTCAATTTAAGAAATAACAAATTTTGGTTTTCTACGGTTCAGTGAGAACATTAGGCCCCAGCAACATATCACTGTGTAAAGAAAAATAAAAGTGCTGCAGGAAAAAAAAAAAAGAATAAACTACTTCAGGAATTTTTAAAAAAATATTTGTTGGCTTCCATGTATATATGTTGTGTACATATAAACACACTATGCACACAGATATATGTATTACATATTCTTATATACCTGTTTCATGTGTGTACACATATGCACATGAACATACTATGTGCACAGACATACTACATGTTTACGTAGTCTTATGTACCTATTTTTTTTTACTTCTCTATTTTCATCTTTCTGTTTTTCTGTTTATTTTTGTTTAACTTCATTTTCAGGGCTTGGGACGAAACCTTGGGTGTCACACATACCGTATCTATCACTGGTCCATAGTTTTACAACCCCTGGCCCATATTTTTCATTTGTACCTTAATTCTGATCCCTTCTTTTTTTCTCTACAAAATTTTTAATTTATCATTTTATATGTATGAGTGTTTTGCTTACATGTATGTCTGTATACCACATATGACCTTGGTGGTTGTGGGTGCTGGGAACCAAACCCCAGTCCTCTGGAAGAATAACAAGAGCTCTTAACCCCTGAGCAAATTCTCCAGCCCTCTTTATCAATTTTGGTTTTTCCATATCTCCCTGGTTTTTTTCTCATTCCTTAAAAAATTAATTTCATTATTATGACACTTCTAAATTCTACATTGCATTTCCACTTTTTCGTTTATTAGTAATGATGGTAGTATCATATTTGCTGTTGGTTTCATATAGTTCCTAACATTTGTATCTGTAAATGGACATGGTGTGTGTGTGTAGTGTGTAGGGGGTGTGTGAGGTGTGTGTGTGTGTGTGTGTATGTGTGGGGTGTGTGTGTGTGTGTGTATTGTGGTGTATGTGTGTGTATGTGTGGGTTGTGTGGGGGGGTGTGGTGTGTGTGGGTGTGTATGTGTATAGTGTGTGGGATGTGTGTGGGTGTGTATGTGTGGGTGGGTGTGGGCTGTGTGTGTATATGTGTGGTGTGTGGGTGTGGGGGTGTGTATGTGTGTAGTGTGTGGGTGTGTGCATGTATATGTATGTAGTGTGGGGTGTGGAGGGGTGTGTATGTGGGGGGGGGTGCGTGTGGGGGGGGGGGGGGGGGTTGTGTGGGGGGGTGTGTGTGTGTGTGTGTGTGTGTGTGTGTGTGCACATACATGTGATTTGCAGGTGCCTGAGGAGTCTGTAGACTTCATATTCTCCCTAAAGCTGGAATTACAGACTATTATGAGCCACCTCACATGGGTACTAAGAGCCAAACTAAGGTTCTCTGCCAGAGCAATAAATGCTGTTAACGTCTAAGCCATCTCTCTAGTTTCCCGCAAATCTCCCTTTTTGTGTTTGTTTTTGAGACAGGATCTTTCTACATAGCCCTGGCTGTCCTAGAATTAGGACATATGACCAAGCTGGCCTCGAACTCCCAGAGATCCACCTACTTCTTGCCTCCCAAGTGCTGGAATTAAAGGTGTGTGCTAACACATTGGGTGTTCCCGGTCTCCTTTTTAAATGGTTTCTAAAGGAACAGAGTTGGCAGGCTATATCTCGGAGAGTGCACTGTGGGATGAAATAGGGAACTGTGTTCAGAATCTGCTGCTGACCTGGAGCCTAAGCAGTTCTAGTTCCTCATTAAGTGTGGGAATGAGAAGTACTTTGCTTCCAGGGAGAACGAGCCTCAGTACTCAGCCCAGCCAGTGTTGCTTCTGGAAGCAAATGGAGATGAACCTTTCCACACAAAACTTCACCCCGTCAGCCACAGCCCCGAACCCTGTCACCTTTGAAATCCTGATCAGAACGTGTATCTAACGTACCAATCACTGAAAAGGAACGAATCCTTCTCTCTGGAAATGTCTTTAAATCTACTGAAGTATACTTTGCAATTACAGATTGAATTTAATTAGGAGTCAGGAATCCCCCTCTCGTTTCGTATGTGTACAAGAGTGTTCAGGTGTGCGAGGGGACCCCTGTGTGCCCATACGTGTTGCCAACAGAGGTCAACTTCTGGGGCCACTATCCAGGTGTCCTCTAGCCTGTTTTATGAGCCAAGAATCTATCATTGGCCTGGGGCTTGAGAATTAGTACAGGCTAACTGGGCTACTTGCTGCAGTGATGTCCCCAGCTCCATATCCCCTGCGTTGGGATCACAGGGGCCTGTCATCATGCAGGGTTTATGGGTTCTGGGAGTCTCAGGTCCAAGCACACAGTCGTGTGAGGAGAATTCTAGGTGCTTGTGAGAAAATGTAAAGAAACCAAGACTAGGGTTTTGTGGCCTCGGTGTCTTCAAAAACACGAACTTGCTCTCAGAATGTGCTTTTGTGCCCCTCCCAGGTGTCGCGGCTCAGAGAGAATTCGCGCCACGTTATTCAATTTATAAGCTGCCACGGAAAAAGAGGTTTCGGGTCACGTGCAGCTGTCTGCCACCTGCCACTGGTCCTTGTGACTGGACACTTTACTCACGTGACTCCTCCTAACCCTCAGAGTATAAATAGTCTGGTGCTCTGAACAAAGTTAACTATTGGATGAGACATTAGTCCGCCTGATTCATGAGCTCCACCCTCCCTGGTCCCAGCTCCTCTGGGGCAGTTAATGCTGGTCCTCACACAGCCAGTGACATACCAACGACCTCCCTCCCCAGTCCTGACTTCCATCCTTTTAAAGACTGAATATTCAAGATCTACACTTGGATGGTTCTGTATGCATTTACATTGTTGTCGGTTTTTGGTCTCTGTGATCAAAATACCTGACATATTAAGAAGCAAGAGTTTACTTGGGGAGCTGGAGAGGTGGCTCAGCAATTAGGAGCACTGGTTGCTCTTCCAGAGGTCCCGGGACCCACGTGGTGACTCACAACTATCTATAGTGGGATCTGGTGCCCTCTTCTGGTATAAAGTTGCACATGCAGATAGAGCACTCATGAGCATAAAATAAGCAATTTTTTAAAAAATAAGAGTTCACCTGAGCTCATGGTTTTAGAGGTTCTAGTCTATCAGGGTGTTCAGGGCAGAGAAGGCCAGAGCAGAGCAGCTCATGACAAGGCAGGGAGGGGCAGAGCGGAAGACAGACACCCCCTCCCCCAGGACACTTCCCAGGTACCGACTCCCCCACTTTCTAGGGTTCTTTTTCCCCAAGCAATATGAAATCCATTTTAAATTAGAGACCAAATTCCCCCATTTACAAGGTTCTGGTTTTTTTACTTATCCATATCGGTTGGTTTTGATGAGTGTGCAAATATTATTAAACTAAGGAACCAGAAACTTGATATAATTTAACCGAATATTTGCTGTGACCTCTGCCATACCCACACTTTGGGGAGGTGTATTGTTTTGTTTTGCAAGACAGTGTTCCTCTGTGTTGCCTTGCTGTCCTGGAATTCCTTAAGACATAGGAAATACCCAGCATGATGGCGCACACCTTTAATCCCAGCACTCAGGAGGCAGAGGCAAGTGGATCTCTGTGAGTTCGAGGTCAACCTGGTCTACAAAGAGAGTTCTAGGACTGACAAGGTGTTATACAAAGAAACGCAGTCACAAAAACAAGAAAGAAAAGACATAGGATATAAGGTATAAAAGGAAGTGCAACGACAGGGTATTTTTGGACCCCATATTTACTAGGAAATAAACCAGCAGAATGTTCCAGGCAGGATGGAACACTCCATCTTACAGGGAAACGCCATTGACACAGGAAATAAACAATTCAAAATAGCTTCAGCAAGCCCCTGAAAATGAGCAGGTTTCCTAGGTCCCTCCCTCCCTGTCTTAGGAAGGGTTTCTATTGCTGTGAAAAGACACCATGACCACAGCAACATTTAATTGTTAAATTAAAGGAAAACATTTAATTGAGGAGCTCGCTTACAGTTTCAGAGGTTCCGTCCATTATCATCATGGTGGGACATGGAGGTGTGCAGGAAGACGTGGTGCCGGGGTAGAAGCTGAGACTCCTACATCTTGCAGGCAACAGCAAGTCAAGTGAGACACTGGACAATATCCTGAGCATAGGAAACCTCAAAGCCCTCCCCGACAGTGATATACTTCCTCCAACAAGGCCATATCCACTCCAAAAAAGCCACACCTCCTAATAGTGTCACTTCCTATGAGAGATTATGGGGGCCAATTACAGTCAAACTACCACACTCCCCAAGAGTATATAAGTGGTAAAGACTCTTGCCAGTCACTGCCTGAGGAGCCAAGCTAAGAAGAAGGCTGAGACATGCCCAGCTGCCTGGAAGAGGCTCAGACAAACTGAAAAGGCCACTCTTCTGTCTGTTGAGCTGCCTACAGACCGTGCAGGGTCGTGCAGGGTGCTCCAGGCTCCCAGTTTTGTGAGATGTCACCCATGCTGGAGTGGGCTTTAGTGACACAGCTGTCTTTGAGTCATTTCTGCCCCTGTAAGGAACCTTGTCTTAGTTAGGGTTCTGTTGCTGCTACAAAACATCATGATCAAGAAGCAAGTTAGATAGGAAGGGGTTTATTTGACTCACACTTCAGCATTGCAGTTCATCACTGAAGGAAGTCAGGACAGGAACTCAAATGGGGCAGGAATCTGGAGGCAGGCGCTGATGTAGAGGCCATGAAGGGGTGCTCTTACTGGTTTACTTCACATGGTTTGCTTAGCCTGCTTTCTTGGTAGATGGCACCACCCACCAAGGGCTGGGCCCTCCACACATTGATCACTTAATAGAAAATGCCTTACAGCTGGATCTCATGGGTGCATTTTCTCAACTAAGGCTCCTTCCTCTCTGATGGTTCTAGCTTGTGTCAGGTTGACACACAAAACCAGCCAGCACTCCCCTCACCCATATTCCCATAAGTAAACCTCCCGGAAAACCTCATTGGTTCATTGGTTCAAGCTGGACTTCAATGGTGTCTGAACTTTGGTCTGCCATGGACTCCCTTTCTGAGATGAGTAGACACGTAGATGTTGTGTCTACCCAGGAAAAGTCTGTCACAGCAGGAAGTAATTCCTTCGGTAATTCACTGAAGGTTCAAATTTTAA